TTAATTATTGTAGTTTACTAAATAACATTTCATTAAAAGCTACCATAAAAGGAAAGCTTACAAATATGTTACTGCAATATCAATATTTGGATACGTTTAATGAATACTTTCTGTTTTTGCCAAACAGCTTTTCTCTTTCATAATTAATTACAAAATTCTTGTGAGTTTTCCTGATTAATTTAATGATTACTTATTTTTAATTAATTTGCAAAAAAATATAATTTAACTACATACAAATGAACTTAAAGCATACACTCTTCTAAATTAAGTTACGTTGACTAATAGTTACACTACGGTAAGGAGTATAGTTCTAAGTATGTAGTGTAAGGAGTATGTAAGAAGTACGACTAGGTCCTTCGACAAAAAACAACTAGTAGAATCAATTATGTTTAAAATTTAATTATTTTTATGTTATCGAACACATTTATTTATTTGTTTCGGGTATTTCCAATATTTTTCAGATATGATGAACATAAATTATATTTTTTGACATTTCAACCAAAATGCCTTGTCGTTATTGGTATTAGTGATTGAATAAGTTGAATTTTAGATCTGTTTCAACAAATAATTTATATGTATGTAATAAATTATTGTTAGTTTGTATTTTTTGTTCTTGTGATTTGAATAAGAATCGTTCAACGGTGACTAACTTATATAAATCAGTTCGTATCGAGCACGCTAGATGATCAAACTGATATAATTACTTACACTGACTTTAGTAAAGCATGTGACTTAATCACGCGATTGCTTTATTGATAATATAAAGGCTTATAGATTTTCTGCATTGTTGGTTCACGTTTTTAAATCATACTGGTATAATCATCAAAATCCAATGATCATGTATCAAATACTTATATTTCACATTGGTATGCCCAAATTAGAATATGTTGTTCTATCTTAGTATCTTTATTACAAATGCCTTAAAATCATCATCATTATCATACATACAAAGAAGGTTAGTAAAGTTCATATTTAGAAATGGAAGCGTTTTCATCATATAAATGTTAATCAAAATAAATTTCGTTAAACCTAAAGCATACAAATTGTTGCTGCCGATGTGAAAATATTTACTTATGTTTACAGATATTCACTCGTCAAGTAATTTATTAATTATGTTACAGATATTGCTTAGTAATAACAAGAATAAATAAATGTAAGTACTTGTGTATCCTGAAATTTACTTCTCATTTACTGAGATGTTAATAGTAATTAGTAAAATTTTGTACTGTATAATTATTGCGTCGACTACTAATACTCAAATACTTAAACGTAATGTCAAGTACTTGGAAAGTTTTTCGATATAAGCATAGTCTACATAAGTAAACATTGTATATTTATACATCCCGCAACAATTCTAAAGTACTTGTAAAACTAATAAGATTACTCCTATAAATTAAAGTCCTTTCATATGTTTTTTAAAAAACGTCTCACTCACTAGCCAAGTAATTTCCAAATATCGTGTAGCATATATATGAATATAGCATATGCCAGCGTTTCTCAAACTATGGGTCGCATTAAATTTTTAATTGTTCGTGAAATGACAGCTGTCATCTTACGTAATAGTGCTTGCAATGCGGCAGTTAATGTGTCACGATACGTCAAAACTAATAAAGTATCGGTTAAAGTACTACTACAAACATGTATGAAGAGACGCGCTACAAAAAAGCTGAAAAACGCTGGTATATGCACTGATTTGATGTAACTGAGCTCCTAGAAATACTTGACAAGTACTTTTACAAGTAATCATGTTTGTTGTTTACTATTCTATTCATATTAAACTATATTCAAATTATCAAGTGTTTGGAATTTTGTCTACTCAATATTGTGCTTCTCTTGCTAAGTAATTTATTATGTGTATATAAAGTCTACTATTTTTTATTTCATAATTGCAAAATGTTTGTCTCGAAGTGTTTGTAATTACTTTAATAAGATTTATGTGATAATAAGTATGAGTCATTGGAGAGTATTATTAGTTGTATTGTCAATCGATAATACTGTTACTATATGTTAAGCTATTTAATTACATACTTTATCAGATGCAAATGTCCAATTGACAAATGCATACTATTATGTCATAGCTAAATGAAAACAAATAGCCGAATTAGATATTCCAGTAAACCGTTAGTAATTAAAACAACGAAATCGGAATTCCGACCCGTTCCATCCATCCATTCTTTTGCGCCGCGTTCACCACTCGTATTATTTTCACTTTTCGTTTTGCGGTGTTTTCCGTGAGTTAAGAGTTGACCGTTCGCATTCCGCGATTATTATTCCGCGCACCGAACGTCATCCGCATAAAAGGAATCTTAGGTTTTGAATGTTAATGGCACGCTTATTACATTCCACGGCAAAGCCAGACTTCGGACAGGCAATTCCCTCTTCCTCTTCAACTGAGTGGAAGAACCTCTTATGACGGACAATTAGTTCCCCGAATACTTGAGTAACCTTTTGCTATAGTATACAGCAGTGATTTAAAAAAATATTCTTTTAAATGACGTTGGGCCGTTCTCGAAAGACGGTTACAGCTTCGAGTGAAACTGAGCATTGTTAAATACAAAGAAGTAGAGTGGTGATAAGATAATATTTGAATTTTAATACAAAAGCTATTATTTTCACGCTTCTAGCAAATATTCTGTGCAAATGAAATTTTTAACAACGGGAATATCTTTTAGCTTACAATTTTATAAATTGAAAAACATGATTCAGACTAACTTATCTATCATCAGGCAGTGGCGGATTAAAGATGGTTGGGGCCCCTACACTATATGAAAGTTTTGGTTTGAGGTCCACACAATACGAAAATGTATTGGCTGAGGGCCCCCATAGTCAGCGGGCCAAGGCACGTGCCTCATTGCCTTAATAGTTAATACACCACTTGACTTCAATCAACTATCGACAATGTTCTGTGTTTTTTGTTTTTAAATACAGTTTTTTTATACATTTGTAAAATGTGTAAACCGGTTTAAAAATTTACTAAATTGTTAGTAGTAATTAATACATTACATAATAAGAATTATTTTTCATTATTCACAATTATTATTTTATTATCATCATTGATTTTGTTAAGTAATTTGAAAATATTGTTTGGTTTAGTTTAGAAATATAAAAATTTAAAAAAATATTCATCAGGATTTTTTTTTGAAAATGGTGTAGTAAGCCTTTAATACGATTGAAGTTCTGGTGTACAGCATCCCCGGATGCTGAAGTGTCTCTTAGTCAGAGGGGATTTACATGTTAATTAGCGGTTTGCAACGGGGCTCTAATTAAGACATTCGGCGCATTTAACATCGGCGATAATCGCGGACGAGTTTATGAATTCATCCATTAACATTTTATAGAGAAGAAACGGTTAATTGGTGCCGAAGCGCAGAAATGCTGTACAGTTAATGCATTGTAAATTATGCGCTAATCACATTCAGGTACACTTTTCCCGTAAACTCTGCTTAACTAAAAACTAAATAAACTGCATTGTTTATTGTTCTTTTCGAAGCGCTCGCAAATAGCGTTATGTAATTTCGCATAAAACTAACGAAATAACGAAAGCGAAACATATTTAGAATAGAAATTATAATTAACTTCAGACTTCCTTGAATATTCTACAAACAATTGCTTATTTTTAATAAATCTAAGTTCATGAACAGTTAACATAAAAATAATATTATATAATTAATTCAGTATAAAATACGAAATCTATATCACTTTCACCAATTCACCAATTTCAGTAATAAAACAAACAAGAAAATAATTAATATTAATATTATGTAAATTTCAATAAAAGTAAATGTGTTGAATAACTAATTTCTGATATTATTTATAGCTTTAATCAAAACTAATAATAAATTATTTTTACATTGAATTGCGACATTTCCAAATAACCAAAGTGTTGATTACACAACGTTAGCACTTATGAGAAAAACAGAAACACGTTGGTAATTGATTGATGTTACCTTTCATGTATTGCCCCCAGATATTAATTACATAATATTAGTATCAATTTGCGCCGATCCGAAACATCGGGATTGGACAATCGATCATCTTCGGAGATACTTGCGTAATTAACGGACGCGTCGCCTCTAACGCTCTGAATTTATTCGAAAAATATTTTAATTTCTAGTATATGCAAATCAGAATCTAATTGGACGACGTAGAAATTAATTTGAAAAATGATAGTTTAATTGTGCGAACGAACATACAAATTATCACATTTGTTATAAAATTAAAAAAAGGTTGAATTCTCTTCAATTTCTATTGATAATTATTTTCATACACAAATAATACTTTGAATATAATTTTCAAACCGGACTAATAGAAGTCGTACTGTGAAACTTTGATGTGAAATCACGTTATATTATTAAAAAATACTTACAATTTATTGATTCATTCGAATTATATTGGATGTAAACTGATGAAAATTGGCGAATTTTCAAATCTTAAAGAAAATAATATTTTTATTGAATTATTTAGTACTGTTTTTTTATTGTTAACGAATGTACGAATTCAAATTTCAAAGAAAAAATACTTTTTTTAAAATTATTTATTATTCATTCAAAATAAAAAAACAATAAAAATAAGAGAAACTCGAAATATAAAAGTAAAATAATTTCAAAGTGAAACCACGTTTTTAAAATTATTGATTAATAATGATTTTACTTTATGTTTGGAAATGTACATTAAGAATGAGAGAGACTGGAAAGATGAAAAGGTATTTGCATTGCGAATTTCTAAATAAATTCATCACGTCCGAAGCCAAAAATAAATGCCGAGGGTGTGAAATAATGGGATCACGGTTCACATTATGTTTTTCTTTTCTTTTACGAGGAAAAAAACAACATATCCATGCGTATGCGAAGAGTAATTATGGAAAATGACTCGATGGAAACGAGCGCTTCGCTTTTCTCCGCACTTAAACAAATGGGTGAATAGAGCTAACAAACAATCGCTTTTTTCGGGTCAGGTGATTCAGAGTGCAATTATTTTTAGGGGGAACGAATTCGGTTTACCTGGTACGATCAGTGCGTGTCTTCGGTGGATGCGCCGAATTTAAATCCCAACATCGGAATTCCAATGCACAGTAAAAGTATTTCCGAAGAAGAAGTAAAAAAGAAGAAGAAACAAAACTTGATCCGAACTGGATGGCCGCGTAACTACCCACAAATCACTAACTGACTCTCTCCTCCTCGATCACCCCTTTTTCCACCTTCGGCACGCGGAAAACTGAAGAGCGATTGGAGGAGTTCTATGCATGCACTCTTGAAGAAGGTCCGAACCTTTTACGTAATTTTCTGACGATTTTTCGGTTGCCCTTCTTTTATTTTTATTTCTTTTTTTGTATAGTTTCACCTGCGCTTTGAATCCTTTGATTATTCTTTTTTTTTTATTGTTTTCTGTGATGTGAAAAGGCCGCGATGCGCGAAGCCATGTTACCTGAGAGTACAAACAGGTACGAGAACAAACTGCCGGAGAGTTTCTTTCTCGTGCACTCACTCACTCACACCAAAACACACACACACGCATACGCCGATGGGATTGTTTTAGGTGGGCATGGGTTTGCCTCTGTGTGAGTGCGTTCGAGAGAGTTGGGAGGAGGAGGATCGAGGTTTCTATAAAGATTTAGGTTTTATTTTAAAACCGTGACGCGCCGCACCTTCTTTCACCTACGAGGAGCTAAGATCAAAGCTTCGAATCCTTCGAACATCGAGGACGAAGCATGCTTTGCTTACATCCCTAAAAATTACCTTTAATTAAGATGAGTACATTTTTTAAAGACCTTGCATCACATCATCGGCATGCTTATAACAAAAACCAGTTCCAGGTCAACTTCCAGCAGCTTATGTAAGTTACAACAGGCAACTCTCAATGCATATGTGGTAGAACTGTAGTATACTCGAAATGTACTTAAGTCATGTTTAAAGCTCACTTTTAATTGTTTGATATTAAAAATCTCATTCTGTTTGTATTTAAATCCTAGAAATAAAGTAAAATATTCAAATCTTTTACTTAATTTATAAAAAGTTATTATTTTTTATTAATCTTAATTATTGTGGTCCTCAATAAATGTTTACCTGAAGTCGAAATTTAAATAAAAACAATGAGTTGTCCAGATAAGAATGGTTCAATAATGTAAATTATCCATGTTTGAATCTTACCGTTAATTATGCAATGGTAATAATCATCAAATAGTTGATAATAAGAGAATATTTAGCACTAAAAATATTTCTCAGTGAATTTTTCAGGATGACTATGTAAATCCAATACAAAATTACTTTAGTTGAATATAACTGAATACATTTAAAACAACAAGTTTGGTAAGATCCAATTTCATAGGTAAAAGCATATGTTTATATTCTTATTATAGTTTGTAGGAATTCCTATATATTCTTATAAAATAGTACTCTAGAAGCCAAGACTTAAATGTCTATCGATAAATTATGATAAACTAGCTTGTTATATAATGATGAATCTTCCATAATGTCTAATTGATAAATTATTATCAAATTTACTAGATTATCTAATTGTCCATAATTCTATCAAAAATTTGAAAATTTTGTGTTTTTAAACTTTATTTCGATAATTTTAGCTCGCCCAAGAGAAATCTAATAAAGTCAGAATATATAAATATAATCAAATAATATATTTATTGAAAATAACTCAACTCAAAACAGCATATGGTATTCAACTACGAAGAAAAACAAGCAATATACAAGTACCATCAAACATTCTAAGATTCCAATACAAATATTTGATTAAACGGTGCAAACATACAACACTAATAAGAGAATATGGTAAGATATAGGTAACTCTTAAGATCGTTGAAATGGTTTGAAAAATGTTTATTCAGTAAATAGTGTGTATAATGTAGAAATACGATTCAACAAGGCGTAAAGTCTTTGATTAATAGCCGATTGTGTATTGTGTTACAGTATGGGATCATCGGGACATCTAACCAAAAATCGGGACAAATCCAGCAAAAAACAGATGTAATCCTAATATAATGATTACAATCTAATTTTGATGTTAATATAATAATAACAATAAAATAAAAAGTCAACAAGTGCAAAGGGCTATTGACCATAGGTATTTTTGCCCTATTCATTTAATTATTTATTAAGAAATTTAAACTTTAAAATACATTGAATGCACTACAATCCACTGAATAAATATTTTTTTAGTAATATGAAATAATTTACTTACGTTTATATTATTGCTCATGATATCACTGGCACTAATATTTAATACAACTGACTTTTACAACATATGATTTTATTAATTTATTTACATTTTCCAAGGTTCCTTTGATAACTGCGTGTTTACTTTAATTCATTTGAAATTGACTGCTCGTCTCTAATTGGCGGATTTGAACGACCTCTGGTGATGATATTCCATGACCGAAGAGAACTTCCCAGCAGAAAACTTGATATATAAGGACTGCTCTGTTTACATATTGTTTTACATAATTGATCACATTTAGTTTATACCTTATATGAAAGTCTTTTTGTTTTATTTTAAAATTTAGAGATTATTTAATGAAAAACATACTTTAATATTACCTTTGGACTATAAAACGCACCCAAAATTTTAGTTCATTTTTCTATGTATTATAATCCAAAAAATACGATAAATACACTACATTACTTTTTATTAGTGGAATTAATTAATATAGGATAAATAAATGATACTTACCTTTTGAAGATCCAACAAATAATTCTAATGTAGTTAAATTATATTTTACATAAACCCAAAGATACAATTCAATTTCATATTGATTGGCTAACTATTATTTTTAAATAAGAATTGAATGTTCAGTGTGTAGAAATTAGTATTCATATAAAATATATTATTTCCGGTTTATAGCTGTTATTCTATGATGTGCGTTGAATACATTAATTTTAATATGTGTACACTTTTCATACTCAAAAATATACGATATTATTTAATATTAAATCACTATTTCATTTGGGCTTTCTTTCAGTTTATATTTAACACATTTGTAATATATAGGGTAAAGCCGAAAGAAATGAACTGATCTAAAATTGAAATTGTCAAATATTGAGCCAAATTTTGAATTAATTTGTTCCAACAAACAGCCAAAAATATCCCATTAAGAATTTTTCAAATTTAACGTATCTTTAACTAAGAACCAGTTGATTTTCTGAATTTATTTTGAAATCATTTTTTTTATATCTATCATTTTAGTATTATTAATATTGAATGACTATGTTTTCGTTCCTTGTTATTAACTTTTGACCCAGTTCTCATACCCAGTAAAAATTCTTCTAATTAATTGGTTTCATATATGAAACAACGGAGATAAATCATCATTCTTTGTTCTAATACACTCTGCAAGTTCGTGCCGCACCAAAATTTCTTCTCTATTATTTTCCAAAATTTTCTATTGATATTGAACTTGAACTAGCAAGATCTTATGTCAATTCCCTGATTGTTTTGCCAGGATCAGATTCCATCAATACGTTTAAAGTGTCATTATAGAACTTAGAGCTTTACCTTACATATATTTTTTATGTCACAATCTGTTCATCAATGTCAACATTGAGTAAATTTAAGATCGCGGTTGACATTAAATGGATAAGCTTTCCCGGTGGATAGTTACCATTATGATGATTTAATTTTTTAATTTGTTGGTTGGCTGTCGTCTTGTAGGTTAACTTCATTAGTATATTAATGTTCTGCGATTCCACTATTTCCTTTCACTGTGATTCTCATTCATTTCACTGTCCATTTGTGATAAACAATGGCCTTATTGTTGCTAGCATCGAGAGGGCTCACAAGGGGCCTGGCTTGATCAGGATTCGAACCGGCGCCGGTTCGATCGTGGGTAGGGCGACTAAACCATTCGGCTCACCAGCTTATAGATGAAGTTACTTTTTATTTAAAGGCTCACATTATGGCATCACTTGTAGAGACTTAAGTATAATTCCATTAACGTTTTTAATGCAGTGAATCTAATCGATTACCTTAAGGCTCGGTTCTCGAACAAAACAAAACATGTCTCAATTTATAACATAATTTCTGTTTCAGTGTTTATATTGTTGTAGAATAGTAGGAGAGAGCGCCAAATTAGTGAATACAGTTAATATAAATTAAAAAATAACTAGATACATAGGGGTGAAATTGAACTATCTCAACTAAACAAATCAATTCGGCACAGTTCTCGTATAAACCATTTTTATCGATCCTGGAAGTCAATCTTAGCAAATGGTAAACAGTAATTTATAAAGATTCTGAAGCCACATTATAGTCAATCAGTAATTAAACATCTTTAGAGTTTTGTCAACAAACTTAAAAAAAATATTAGATTTTAGAAGCCCTGAAAATTTTTAATGAATTATTTTACTAACAAAAATAATAACTATGGGAATAAATAGAATTAATGTTAGAAATTAATAGACCAAAGGGCTATCGACTTAAATCTTTCCTCTCATGATGTTTGTTTTTAGTAGACTTTTTCAAAATGTATGCCTGAAAATTATCTGTTTTCAGAGGAATATCTTATATACATCGTATTGAGTCTTTATAATTTGTTTAACTCTTAGCGGATGGATCTAATATTACCGCCCTTGTAGTAACCGATCGATAAATTCTATTATTACTAAATTAATAAAAATGATAATACTAACAATAAAATAAGTTATAAAACAGAATTTAATCAACAAAATGCGATTATCAACTAATAAACTGCATATTTATGTTATGCAACCATATACACACCTTACACAGCTTACCCGTAAATTTCTATTCCCTAGACCAATTACATTTAAATTACATCTCAGAATACTTGAAGAACAACTTCGGTACACCAATTTCGGGGATCCAGTAATAAAGTAAGAAAAACAATGGAAAACAATTCCATTACGTAAATTGAATAAGGATAAGGTTTATGCATTCTTTAAAAGCGAGGGAAGTAAGAACTTTGGGATTAAGGTGAAATGAATACGCAAATTCGTTTTATTTTTACAATTGTAATTTTCGTTTTGAATGTAAATAGCTTATATTTCCATTTATTTGTCGAAATATCGTAATAATCTCATTGTATGGTTTACTTTGTTTCTTTATTTATTATTATTTTATTTTCATAAAAGGAAGATTCGAACCACATATTTTATGCGTCAACATAATGTGTTTGTAATGTACCATTTTATCTTACGCAACCATTGAAGATTCTCCACATTCTCTATAACCGTATCAACCTTCATTTGTTTACTCGTCAACTTAATGATAGAAACGAAAAAACGATAGTAAAAATTTGCATTTCTTTTAATTTTTTTTCTTGCTTCGTTTTCTTTCATTTTTCCCGCTGATAATAAACATGTGTTTCAAATTTCATAAATAACATCATCTGTAATTCACCACTTTCCATCACTTTCGTTTTATATATATATTTATATATGTATAATAATATCTGTAGTAATTACAATTATCTGTACAAGTCAACATTCAAATAAACTCCATATTTTTTCTCTCTGACATAATTTTTTTTTCGTCGTTTAATTTTCTACTATAGCGCTTTCGTTGATGACTTCTCCGATCATCATAAGATTCATATATTTAGGATATGTCTAAATGTAATAAATACTAAAATAAAAATTACATTCCTATTTGTTTCATATTTATGTTTGTCTTTCTTTAAAAATTAATTATTTAAATGTAGAAAATCTAAGAGACAAAAAAAATAATACCAACGCTTCCTCGAAAGCATTTCGGGTTCATTATTTTCGTTTAAATGTATCCATATCTTATTATTTCCTCTTTATTTAATTTAGTTTAATTAAGTCTACCTAAGAGATATTATTATTTTTTTTGTTAAATTTCACTTCATTTATTACTCGGCTTTTGTTCAAACGATAAACGGAAAACGCTTCTTCGATTATCGTTCAACTATATAACTAAACTAAGAAAAAATCATCATTTCGTTTCGATTCTTCTCTTAGTTTATTAAAAATCGGCTCGTCTTATTTTTTTTTCTCTTCAAATTTAACAAAGCGAACAAATCGACGACGATGAAACAAAGTCATAGTAAAAATAGTTAAAGAAACTTCGCAACGAACGGAAATACACGTCGCAGCGTCTAAATACTAAGTAAGTGTCCTCAAGAGTGCTTTAGGAAAAAACGTTTGCGAGTTGAAGAAATCCGGGGATAACAATGCTTTCGTTTTGTATCACGAATTACTGTTTCGTTCATATTAAAAACCTTCTGTATCCTGTTCAATTTCTCGTAAGGCATTTATGTAATATGAATAACGAATGAAAAATACAGCGAACATTTAAAGGAAAATGTATAATATACGAAACACTACCTAAATATGTATCACAATAATTATTTGTATATTACTTTTTTTAGAATAGTTTCTCTTCATACTTTTTTTTTATTAATTTCATAATTATATTACCTATCAATTTTGGATTTTAAATTGGTCCGAAATGAGTATAACTGGGGGGAGCGGGGGAGAAATTGTTTCCTTGCTTTGTTTCAACAATCCTTTGCATTCGAATGAATTAAGTTAATTAATTTTACCAAGAACCTCTCTAATTCTTCTCTAAGAATCAAATAAAAAATAGTACTTTTAAACCGCAATTTGCGGGAAATTTAAATTTTGAAACATGTTTTGGATTATCTTGAATTATGTATGGGTTTTAATTACTATTTTTTCAAAGAGGAATGGAAAGTTGCTTTTTGTATCAACTTTATTTATGTATAATTATCGATAAGTGAATGCAGTGCCAGCTTGTTAATAAGGGCTGCAAAGCTACAGCCCCTTAAGTATAAGATGTTGGATATCGCTGTTCTTAAATTTGTAGAAATGAATATTATTATTTTTATTAATGTCTTGGATATTTACGTCCAAAAAAGTTTCTTGGAAATGAAGAGATGTAGTGAATTGGAGAGGTCAAAGTGTGTAAAATCGATATGTCGTCCTGTGTGTGTGTATTATTTACAAATCGAGTAAGCCGGCAAAAGACGCAAACGATAGTATCTATTGGTCCCGATCAAACGAAACGAAAAGTATTATTACACAAACATCGGTATTCTTGTCCCACGTCTGTACATGCGAAACTTGGATAAATTCAAAAAGTCAAAAACTTTAGCGTTGAGAAAACATTGCAGCGGGAGAGCATTAACATAATTCGGTTATAACGAGATGGCGTGCAAAGGTTAAAGAGAGAGGGGGGAACTTAAATTTGAACAGAATCGATGATCCGCCCGGTGTATAATACGTTTCCTCGTCTCGCACGCTCGTTACAACCGAATTCCGTTTTCGTGCGAAATAATTATGTACAACTTTCAAATATCTTATCTTTCTTTCTCTCATTTTCTTTCTTTCTTTCCATTTTTGTTTTTTCTGTGTCACACGCTCACGCATATAATGAAATACTTAATATTCTTTGTTTTATACAATAATAATGATATTCCTAATGGCAGTTATGTTATATAAAAAATCACTACTCCATATTTTTTTGTTCTCTGTTTTCCTTGTTGATGTATTCTTTGAGTTCATCCCCCTTTCGAGTAAGGCTTTCGAAAAATTATAAGGGGATGGAGTGTAAAAAAAATGCCAAAATTTTAGGGAGGGCAAGGGTCGGTATTTTTTTTGTGGCTGCAGGACCCTACGGTACGGCCCTGCGAGCAACACAAATAAGATTTCCGTGTTTCCGGTTCATGGGGGGAGCGGGCTTTCAGGCAGCGTTATTACAGTTTGATGGGTCTGACGCTGGTGAAACATTGACCCGTGCTTGGATCCAAATCGACTTGGGTACTCTTCTGCTGATCCTTGGAGGTCGGCTGGAGTGGCGGCGGTAGCGGCGGAGGCGACGAAGAGCTGATGTTGATTGTGGTCGAGGTGGTCGTCACTGCGGCGACGGCGGCGGCGGCTGCGAGGGCGGTTGTATCGCTGCTGGGGTTGCTTGATGGGGACACGGAAATGGCATCGACCTTGACACCGTTCGGGTTCAGTTGGGCAGCGACACCCACGGAGAGCGCACCTAGAATTAGACAGAACGGACGCCAGAGCGAACGCTAATTAATCTGGATGCACAAACAGATACAAATAGAAAGAGAGAAAGACTAGACGGTCTTTCATAGTTATATTGACAGTCAACAGTAAGGGAAACGACTAAGCTCACGTGCAAGTATATTTATGTAACGAGAGGAAAAAGAAAAAAATACAAAGAAAATAAAGAGTCTGGATATACACATGCCCAATGTAGAAGAGATAGAAACACTTAATCAATCAAGTACAACCATGCACATAGATCTATTCAAATCATCTGGTTGCATGTCCAAAGTAAAACGGGAAACAAATATATATATATAAAGAAAACAAAATAAAAATAAACAAAATCTTCATCATGCTCGATGGTATAAAACAAAACTAAAATCTGAGACTCCTCGATGCTAGTCATTATCATTCTTTTTTTTATTAATAAATCTGCATCAAACCAAATACATTGACACTACAAACAACTGAGGGGGCTATGGTATATATTAGGCTATGTATGTAAGGTATACCCTGTGGAGGAATTAAGTCCTGCTCAATTCCGTGTTGGATTTTGTGCCGTTAGAGCGCATATTTGAGTTCAGATGACCTTCATCTGGAACGGGAGATCGAGAAACAGACAGTTTAGTTAAAACACAGATTGATTCTAGCATATAAACATACACATTGAGTACGCAAATTTCAGAGATATATTTTTGGAGGGATCTTCAAGGACGAGTCGCGGTAACGATTAAGAGACGCGCGCGCGCCTCTCCTCCTTCATCATCACTTCTTCCTCTTCAGGCGCGATTAATTTGCGGACACTTAATCTAATCCAAAACCCTCATCCCTTCCCCCATTCGTTATTATCAAAGAGCAACCCTTATCCGACGAAAACAAACTCTCATGTCGCGTCGTTGGAGCAACAGTTCCATCAACAGCGAACATCGCGCCCGGATTTTGATCACGTCTTGTGTTTGAAGTATGCATCACTTGCTATAAAATTCTACATCGGTGAGGTCTAACAAATCAATAAGATATTGGAACCAAATGAGGACACATTAATTACTTAATGAGATGGAACAAAGTGATATACTCCATTACAACGAAATCAAAACTTTCAAATTATGATAACAAAATAAAATATTGTTTGCTATAGAAACATATTCATCCTGAATTAATTGGATAAGTAATTTACTCAATTAACGAATCATATAACTCATTGAATATTGAATAATTAACAAGAAAGATAACACCGAATATACAACCCACGATTATGTAACTGAAAATTATATATAATGCTCTTCCTCAAGAAAATAACATTGATCGTTACACACGCTCATTTTGCTGTACGCCCACGAGATGACGCTATAATCAAACATAATTATTTACAGTATCTATCCTCAAAAAAATCTATATTTATGAACGAAAAGAGCTAAAATCAATAGTTGTCTAACTCCTAAATCATCATCCTTTGTAACTATTTCAATAAATAACTTGCTAAATATTTTGATTCAAAAATATTTTTTTTGGAAAATTGATTCTAAAGTAATTTTTTGAAGTTTCAAACTTTTTTTGGTGTTTTTGGAACACTATTTTTGTTAATGTCACTATAAGTACATTGGAGGAATTTATCGTATTGACTCATGTAATTTAGTCAATGGTAAATATTTTTACAATATCGTTTACATGGCAGTGTTTCCTAAAATTGAGCTTATAAAAAATGACAATAATAAACTATATAAAATTTTAAAACTTACAGCAATAAAAAATATCTATACAATTAGGTCATATGGGAAGATCTTACTTAATACATATTCAAATTTTATTAATGAAATTAAACATACTTATTAAATCATCATATATGTTCGTTATATAATTAACTTACACTTTCAAGAAAGTTTTTAAGGGCACAAAACTAATTAAATTTTTGTTAACGAGATGACTTTAAGATCTTCCAAGTTGATTATTTTAATTATATATCAGTAGATAATTGTTATCTTTAAAATTTTACATTCTTTAACATTAATCTTGTTATGATAATAGCTATCTAATTTAATCCATTTTTTGAATTACAATAAAAGATATTTAATATGCTAGGTACCTTGAAAGAGTCTATATCGAAATCTCGACAACCGTAATCCGGACAATCAAATTCCCGACAGTATCAAAATCCCAAAACCCATAATCCCGATAGTATTTTATGTTTTAGATTATTTTTTATTGCTAAGGTTTATAATGAATAAGTCTATATCAAATAATTATGTCGGGATAATATCGGGATTTTGATAATGGTTGTTGGGATTTTGAATGTCAGGATTTCGATTGCCACCGACCTTGAATATAACTAATCTTACAAATATTTATATAAAAATAGACAGTATCTTGCGTACTGCCATTACAATATAAAATACATGTACTTAAAGTGCTCAAATAACGTAAATTCCAATATTCTGGAACTCAAATTTGCATTAAGATACTCAATGTTTATAGAAACGTACACTTTATATCATCAAATATTTATATATACGTACATTTATATATACGTACTTTAATGTTCTCATACCACAACATTTTTTTATTTTTTTTTTCTAAAAAAAGAAATAGAAAAATAAATGAATAGAAGTCACATACATGATATGGATGTTGCATGCATAAGTCCAATCGACTAGTATGACTGACATCATTGTACGTTCCTACGAAACTGTACGTTATTATTGTCAATGGGTCTTAAATAATAATTATTCTTATAAAATTTGTAAAAATAGATCTATTATTTGAAGTAAGGCTGTATTGATTTTTACACCAACTTAACTTAATATATGTCATTAGACACGTTTAGGTTAGTAAGTAACCGGTTTTAGTATATTTCTATATAAAAAGAAAATAAATAAATTAATAAAAATTTTAATTTAATTATCCATATGTATAAGATATAATTAATAAGTTAATTTATGAAAGTTCAATTATTAAAAATTAATATTAAATGAAATGATGTATGTTTATATTTCATAAATAAATGAAATCATTTCAGCAGATAATGATTTAATCACGTTAATTTTGGTTTATATAAATACATTAATCGCTTGTACACTACTGATCCACTGCATAAGTAAAAGATCGCGCAAACGTAGCAGTAACTGATTCAAGACCTAGATATTGATGGTTGTATCAATTATTGATGGTGGCTTTTAAATTAGTCAGACAAAAAGCAGAAGTTTAAATAAGTAATTTTTATTGATTTCTTTGACAGAGGGAGGAAGGTTACAAAGGAACATCTTCGAGTACCGATCCGTTCTTTGATTAATCCAGAGGTTAATGAGTGTGTGTGTGTTGCGACCGAGGGGGTGCGGTAAAACGGATATAAAATGCCGTTTGAAGTGCATTCGGTGCAGATTTATTAGGGCAATAAATTAACCTTGGACGAAGCGGGCGTGCGGAAAATCCGGTTTTGCATAGATCCGAGCGCGGAAAACGCATAATCCACATCCCCGCATCTTTTGTGCTTGGACATCTGCAAGATTGCCTCAGCGAAACTTTCCGGATTACCCGCTCGCACGCGTCTCCCTCTGCACATATATTTCAGCGAATTGCTTGCTAAAGGGATATCACTTTGTCTATTTCCTCTCTTTTCTCTTTTAAATCTCTCGCTTCCTGTGTACCTCTTCCTGCGTTTCACTCTCGCTGCACAAATCAAAATGTACCCTTCAATAATAGATACACGCATACTGGGAGTGCGAGCGAGAGATGGGGATAGATGAAGGTGGAAGGGAGACGAAACCCGGCGAAAGGGGAAGTATCCCCATTAACCACTTGGGGAATTGCCAGTTTGCAAACAACTTCCGTGCATTGTTTGTTCCGCTGCGAAACAATTTCGTTCAATTCGGTTGAAAGGAACGCTCAACAACAACAGCAGCAGCAACAACTGCTGCAACAATAAACAAGCGGGTGGGGAGGAGGGATGGTTGTACGGGCAGCGCAAATCGCAAAACCGAACTTTAATTATGGCAAAAATCAATCGATCCCCGGCCGCAAATCCGCATTGGGGGGATGGATCCTCCGTTCGGATTACGCATACCAAATCCTATGAGAAACGCAGTAAATCTCTAGTAGCAGTCTCACTATAAAAAAGAACATATTTTTCATTTCCCATCTCCGACCCGCATCCATTGCGGTGAGGCTGGGGGGAGAATTCCCACCGTCGTTCGTTACGCGACCCGCACTAGAACCCATTTCATCTGCACCCTTTCACCGCTCCCTTCTTATCCGCAACCCGGTTCAGACCTAACGAACTTATTTTTCGCACAACTATTTAGTTTCACTTCTCATATTCAAAGATACGCTAAATATTGAGTCCGTCTTTCTGATACGCGGTGCTCTGGTTCGAAGTAATTCTAGGCTTTTTATGAGTCGTAAAACATTTATGAGCCTCGCAAGATTGTATAACGAAATTACGTAAAGCCCTCGAAGGACCTCCACCAGCTGAAATATTATTTTTGGCCTTGCAATTAAATTATAACATTGTTATCACACAAGTGATGCTCAAGGTATATGGTCCATTAAATACTAGTAACCTATTAACCTCAAATTATAAGAGTTTGTAATCACATTAAATTAAATATTATTAGAACCATTGAAATTATTTTCACGTTATTAATTAGATTATCATGTTTGAACGTATGTATTAATTATTAAATTTATGTGTAATTGATTGTTGGATTAATAGAGAAAGGTTTTACCAATTTTCTGAGCTCCAGTCATCATCTCCTTTGGATGGTTCGACTTTATGGCGTTCATCCTACGATTCTGGACGTTAGAGCCCATTGGTCCTCCTGCTTGCATCGATGATGGGCATCCCGTATTCTGTCCTTGGCCTGGAAGTCGCGGTCCTCTCGGCTGCTCCACGGGCAGCACTCTCCTACGTTTCTTCGGCAATTTCGCCCTCGCCTAAAAACAACCATTTACTTCATTTCATCTTTATAAATCATATAGAAATACACTCGGAACCCATTAAAACTGCTATAAAAATGTAATGGAGCTAACAGACGCTTATATATAGTAAATAGTGGCACAAATAAAGTGTCGAGTAACGCCATTATTAAAAGTGTGTGTGTCCTTACAGTTGGACTCACTTCTTACTATTATTCATGACATTTGGGCATACTGGCATAATGAGACAAATAGATCTTAACCTCAAAAAAGAATAGACGTTTATTAACTTGGGAAAGTTAGGAAATAAATCTCTTACTATTATTAACGACATTTTGACAAATTGAATAATGACATAAAAGACGTTAAATATATGTACCTAGTATATTTGTATCATGTTAAATAGCTTAGGAAAGTTAATTTTTTGAATGAATCATTTCTGTTCTGTGAAAAAATATATACTTCATCCAATTTGTAACTGCTTAACTTTTTCAAAGTTATTGGTAATAAACATAATCTAATGTCAGAAAATTACTTTATAACCTTATTGACGTCATATAACTTTAGTTGCCCATTGTTGTATTTATGACTACGGAACAGAAGTCGTTTTATTATCATATAAGTGTATTTAAAATATGTATTAACACTTTAGCTTGTAGTAAATCACATAAAGTTATAAATTCAACAGTTCGTTGTAGTATGGTTATGTATTCCAGTAGTACAAATATTTATTACAAGCTTTTTTTATACATAAACACAGACAGTTTCTCTTTTTTTTACTTAATATTTTGAATATCTACATGTATCTATATCCCAATTTTGATTTATTGAATAAAGTACTTTAGTTTACTTATTTTTATTATCAAGCAAAAGACATAACACTATAATGTACATTAAATTATTGTAGATTTTTGATATTTGGATATTGTTACAAGTTTTTTTTTTAATTGTAGCAATAGAAAACTCAAGATATGATACGAATAATATAACGTTTCAGTAGTAAATAATAAATTTTGCCAGTCATGCTTTCAATATGAATGCGCCATATTAAATTTTATTTGAGGTCGAGATCTGTGGTATTACAGTTCTTTGTAGCGCAAAAAATATTGAAAGCATTCCTTATATCCGAACATGATGAAATAAGTGATGCCACAATGAACTTTCCTTTGAGCTAAGAACCAATTAATTCAGTAAACTGAGGATTATATAATGACAGGAAACTTTATAGACGCAATTTAATGAAGCGTAAAAATGAAAACATAAAGCAAATTATATTTTATAAAATCTTATTAAAAACGGTATATAAAGCTAAAATGCAATATTTCCAGTATAGTAAATTAATTATAAATTTTAATATAAAAACCGATATCTAAAATATTATATAATAAATTCATCAATATTTAAAAACGCGTTATTTTTGCTCTAATAAGTAAGTTGTTTTCTATAATAAAATTTATTTTTTCCAAGAGATTCTTTTTTAGTCATGTTATATGAAAATTTAGTGGAATATTATTTTTTAAATTCATTTATTTATTCACATTATTTATGTTGGTATAAATAGAAGGATTAGTTTTTGAACGTTATGATAGAAATAGATATTTCATCGGAATCAAAACATATAAAAAGATATAAAACTGTCACTTTATATAACTGCTTTTGCTGTCATCTTTATGTTACTGTCACTACTATCATCAAATACCATAACTGTTTTTTTGTCACATAGTGTTGAGTTGTTAGATCTGTTGTAGATTTGAAGAAATTAAAAAGTAAAACATGACATATCAGAGTTGTGTGATCTCACCTTAATAATTAATAATTGTTTATGTTTTTATAAAACATTTTGTACAGTTTGAAAAACATATTTACAAATACCATTATTTGTATATATTCAATAGATTGTCAGGAGACACCTGTCATGATTTGAATGATTGTAGTAATAAAATATGTGGGCAAAAGCCCAAAAAGGAACATCACCTATTGATAAAAAAATCAGAGATATCACCAACTTTTTTTTTCCAGCGATTTATCGTTACAAAATTTAATTGAATCTATAACGCGGTTGGATAAAGCGACAGGTCCTCGTGGATTACGTTGGTTGACCGTATTTTATGTGTGTTTTTAGGCGGAAACGCAATCGTTTCCGGCATTCACAATATTTATTTTTTTGTTTGTGTGCGCTCTGTCCTTTGTTACTGTTCAGCGGATTTGCCACGTATTATATCTATTGTAAGTGCTCGTGTCTCAATCACGCCGCATTCATTAATGCACATTCAGGTTGTCAAGCAAACAATTGTACAGACTATTTTTTCTTTTTATTTTTGAACAACGCTTCTTTTTTTTGTTATGCATTCCACAATATGATGTAATTTTACAGGTGAGTACATTTACTTTATTTGCTTATAATTGTTGCATAATAAACGATTTGTTCTGAAGGCCATATACAATCATCATCAATTCATTACAATTATAACTGTAGACGCATTTTACAAATTTAAAGACAGGGATGTTATTTACATTCATTTATTTATTTATAATAAAAAAAGAAAACTTTTGTACTTCACGTTATGGAGAATTGATACACTAACATCAAAGTGCCTCAATTCATGTTATTGTATCAAAAATAAATCAGAAATAATTTTGATGTTGTCTTTAGTCTCCAGTCGATTTCTCTGCTTTTTTATATGTTTATTAGCAACTTCTTGACTGATCTTATGGAATTTTGAATGCGTATGAAGTATGATAAATTTGCTATTGGCACTAAGTTCAAGAAGTGTTTTTCTGGTAAATCAACAATTTCACATTTAAAGCGATCTGCCAACTGACAATATCTGGGAAGTAATCAGTTCTCTGAGTTTGCTCTTTGAGTTTGGTAAGTTGGCTTAAAAGTAATATTTTCATAATCTTTCAAAAACAAAGCTAACTTTGAAAAGGTATTTATTCTGCTTTATGTCTCAAATACAAAAAATTGATCCAAACGCTGAAATCATTAACTAGCTAAAATTATATTGATGTTTTTTTCTCGCAATTATTTGTTCAATGCATTCACAAATACTAAAAGAATTTTAATCCAAATATACCCAAATTTACCTCGATTCGCCAATCCATGATTTAAACAATTTTATTTTATATACCTCTATGAACATTTATTTCGTAAACTTAATTAAATCAATTAATTCTATTATAGACATCGTAATTTACTAATTGTAGTAATTATTTTTGTAATCCATCAATAAATCAAATTAATATATGTTTTGTAAAAGCATTTGCAAATAACAATCAATCAACGTAATATTGATGTTAATGCGTACTTCAATTTTGTTTGTATCTCTCCGATAAAGCAATTCACAAATAAATCAACTATCATTATTTCCACGATATTTATGAAAAATTCTATCATTTTCATGTTTACTTTAAACTTCAGTGTAATTCATATCTGATATTACAAATGTATTTCAATGTTGTCCTTTTAATGAGTTTACGATCAAATTCAAACAATAACAATGAATATTCCTGACTTGCAAACTATATGCCATTTCGGCTTCAATTGTGACTTCAACTACAGTATTATCTTAGGATTAGGGTCTATATCTTTGGGTTACCAAAACAACAATCTGAATGAAATTTACATCTACTTTATCTTATTTCGAACTTCTAATATCGAAGGGTCGATATAACGTATTTTACATAAGAAAGATTCTAGTTTAAGGCCAACGCCTGACAATTGTTTTTGATAGCATCATATAATGTAGATTAGGTAATTATTAGACGAAACAGAATAAATCAACTTTATACTGATATTTTGACTGTTTATTTACTAAAACTTTTCATTGTTCGAAGAAAATCCTTTAATTTTGTTAACATTCTAGAAGCATATCAAAATGTTTACTTCGGAAAACGAAGATAATTGTTGCTATTCTTGCTAATCGAAGTATGACTGTACTTAGATATTAAAGAGTATTTTATTATATTGCGATAATTACTTTAAATAAGAAATAATATTTCAATTCAAAATTTTGTGTTTAATGTGGTTTTTACACTTAAATATAAGAGTAAGTATAAGTTATATTAATTAAGCATAATTAATTCATTCGTACTCACCAAATATTAAACTATAATCAATTTAATACATCTTTTGCAAACATTATATAAATAGTTATAAATATTTCTGACAATTTGAAATAAATTGTGCAATTAATTAAGATATATCATTAATTGATATTTTGAGTTTTGACAGTTATCTCATCCTATTAAAAACATGTTTATTATGAACAATTACTAATGATACTATAGTATTTTCATAGATTTTTCATCATATAATATATATTATTATTAATGTGTACCAATTATTGGACACTTCCCGATTTAATGTTTTAATGTGCAGTTGTTAGTCATTTTAGTTATTATGAAGTATGATGAAAGCAAAACAGATCTAGCAACTACAATTACATATTGTGCTGCCATGTGTGTAACTAAAATAGATTTATGTTATTATTTTTATTTATTTAATAATTGCCATTACGTGTTTTTTTTATCCCGAAATATTTTCATACACATTGCTTGTGATGACACTTATATCTCATGAATAGGTTTATGCAATGTGAAATATTCGATTACTAGAACAATATACCAATCGACTGTATAGATGCTAAAGTGTATATTAAAGTATGACAAATTTAAATGAACAATTTAACATTTTTCATAATTACTAAATAATTATAAATATGAGTTAATAAATTTATTTCTAATTTTCAATGTTCATTTATATAGTTTCTATTAAATACATTTATTTATACTTCATAACTAGGAAATTTGTTCGACTTTTGAATAGTATAAATTAAAGAATAAACTATCTTCTAATGCATTTTGTTCTTCGATCACGGTAATCTTTGTTTGACTTTTGAGCTGTTGTTATAGTTTCAAAACCAGATTTTGGTCGATTTTTCTTGTTCGAGTTTCATAATTTTCTAGAAACTTACACAAGCTATTCAAAATGTGAGTATTGAGAGGTATTATGATATATTTAGATTTGTAACTAGTGATATCGTGACTTTAAGCGTCTATTCAATTTTAAAGTTACTTGTAATTTAGCTATGCGTTAAATCAATAATGACATTTAATTACCTCATACTTCAGTAATATTTATATATATATATATCTATGAGGTTATTTGTCATAATATTAGGATTATCATACGTTTGTTTACATTTTCACCAATTTAACTAATTATTATAAAAATAAAAAATAATCATTTTCACTTTATTTCTTTGAATTGTTATGGTGCTAGTTTCTCCTAGATTTGAAATATTATTATCCCAGTTTACCGTTTTCATAAATGGTAACCATATGTGTCTGATTATCAATTGCAAATAGTACAATATTTGACAAGTATGTATCTTTTATGATTTTGTTTGAGATGATTGTTAAGGTTTTTTTTTATAAGAAATTGTATATTTACCTGAGTATGGCTATAGTACATGGCAAAGTTGGATACGATGACTGGAACTGGCAAGGCTATGGTGAGTACACCAGCTAGTGCGCATAGGGCGCCAACAAACATGCCTATGTATGTCTTAGGCACCATATCTCCATATCCGACTGTGGTCATGGTGACCAGAGCCCACCACAGGCCCAGAGGTATGCTCTTGAAGTCGTTATGGGGATTAGTCTGTATGCGTTCGGCGTAATACACTAAACTAGCGAAGATCACAATACCTAAGACGAGGAAAAACACGAGAAGCGTGAGTTCTTTGGCGGACGCGCGAAAAGTCTGTATGAGAATCTTGAGACCGGAGGAGTGGCGCGTCAGTTTGAACAGCCTCATGATGCGGATGATCGAGAAGAACTCCATAATGTCGGCGTTCTCTAGGTGCGAGGCGAACTTCCTCAGCACCAAATCGATGTAGAAACTGAGCGTGGCCACGTAGTCTATGATGTTCACCGAGGAGTTGATGAACTCGCACTTGTTCGGCGACGTGATGAACCTGACGATGATCTCGAATGTGAACCACGCGTTGCAGATGCACTCGATGTAGAAGAAAGCGACGTGTGCTTCCGTTTCCGTCTTCTCGAAGACGTAGTCACTCCTGTTGTCCGCCGTCGTCACGTTGACGCGCCACAATTTCGGCACCTTCATGTCCGGATGTGTCTTCAGGCAGAACGAGAGTATGGAGATGCAGATGAAGAACACAGAGAGTACACCAATCACCTAACACATAAATACACATATTATTGTATCAAACTTTTTGCAAACCTATTAATACAATTTAACATAATTTGCAAAATTAAAACTAAATACCGGACACCGGTTAATCGGGATAGCCGCTTATTTGGGACAAATCTTAAAGAACGGAAACAAAACCGAGCTGATAACAAATGCAAAATGGAATTTCGGATAATTGGGCCAGCAGCTTTATCGGGACAAATGTACCGTTGTGTCCCGATTAAGTCGACTGTATTATTATTGGAAATTGTGTATACAAAATTACCTCATATTGTGCGGGTTTTGTCTTGGACTGTTTGTTTAAATTTTATTTTCTTATTTGCTATGCTATTTTTAATGTATATTTAATAATTCAGTAAATTAAAACAAAATTTTAATTTTATGTGTAAATAAAAACTTTTGAAAAGTTATTTAAGTTAAATTACATAGAAAAAGAATAAATAATAAAGGCAGGTCTTTGTAATTTTCCTTAATACACAGGCAAAGTGAAACTGTATAAATACGCAAATTTTGTATCTCAGGAAGAGAGTGTTTCAAAGACTTATTCTGTTTAAAATTGCTTTTGCATCAAAGGAATATTCGTAATTTTCAATGCTAAATTTAGATTACATTGAGTGTGTATATTTTTACAAATTAATAAAGATTTATGCAATATCAACACAATTAGTAGAAACATTTGTTAGAAGAATAATTTCCTTTGCTTCTTTTAATAAGAGTAATTATGTAACATTGTTTAATTGCTGGACTTATTTGCTTTCTTTCAATTTGTGTCATTTAATAAAGATAATTAGAAGATTTGAGCCTTTTTTTTAAGTATTATTAATCCACTTTTTAGAAACTTTGAATGATGAAATTTAACAGGTTTATATTGTTAAAAATTGATTAATGTTTGCCAATAATTTTAAATTAATTCTACTTAAAACTGAGCTTTATATTGAGGTTTACCTTATTTTATAAAGAAAAACGATATTGATTTTTGTTATCCTTTTTTTTTCTTAAAATTGTTTCATAATTGAAACAGTTAAAGACTGATGAATATTTATATTCGAATAATATGATAATCTTTACTTACTTTAGCAGCTGTCGAAGAGTAGGGTTCATCAAATAGTGACCATACTTTGGGTTTGGTGACCTGCCACCATGAGAGGGTGCCCTTGAAATAGTCCTCCTCGAATCCGAACTTCCGTGCAATTTCCTCATCGCTCGGCTTCTCCGTGTCCAGATCCAATCGATCCAATACCGCCAATGTCTCCTGGGTGTCGCGATGCTGTAAACACCACAAGCCCATCCATTATTTACGTTCCCACAAATATATTTACACCCGACAGATCGCATAGCGAATTCCATCAATAAAGAAGAATAGATTGAGCACGAGATTCGCCGGAAAATCATCTGCACTTCTACCCATACCATATTTATATACAAAATTTATAGATACGTTGATTATTAATGAATACAGTAAGAGTCATTGATTCCTATATAATACGATTATTCCCAAACACGTAACGCTGTGTTTCCCCAGAATATATGCTTGTTTGAGATGTAAATGAGCAGGATATTAAGGAATTACTGCAGGTTTCTAGTGAGGGTCTTATCAACAACGACCTTCATGAACTGGCAGAACAAGGAATTGAAGAACGCGGAAATAGTGATTCTGAAAACAATGAACAAAAAGAACTTGCTACGGATTTTCTTAGAAAAGGTTTATAAAATATAACCGAGTTGATCAAATTGTATAGAATGATCCAAATTTTGACAAGAGTGCAAAAGCAAGAAGTGGAGTTTTGGGTGCAATCACTTGTTACCAACATTTGCTTAATTAAAGAAAAAAAATTGTTTATTTTTAGTCGCGTGTTGCAGTTTCCCTATTTTCTATGTGTTAATGTCACCTCTTATAACGCTGTTATAGCGCTCTGTCTTCAGGAACGCATCTAAAGCGCTAAACAAGGTCTTACTGTATTTTCATTGTTGTAGTTTCACCATTACTTTTTATTAATAATCTACAGAATCCATCACATTTTTCACTAATCTCAGCTAATATATTATTTATATAACGAAGGATAGGACCAAGTATATTTCATTGAAGTACACCTGTCATAATTGAAAAGACATAATGTTTTAGCTTTGAAACATTATGATTTTCTCATCTACAAATTATTTCTATATATTTTTTTTGGACTTATGGTCAATATCCCTTTGAAGCAGGTGACTTTTCATAAAAGTATTTACATAGATTAGAATTTCAGGAGGAAACTGTTGCAAGCTGTACATATTTAATCTTCCTTTGACTTCAAGAGAATAAGAAAGTAGTTTAAACGGCTTCAATCTAAAAGCTTTCTTATTTTTGTGTGTGTGTTGTTTCCTGAATGATCCAACCTTTTAGAACGTTCCCCGCCTCAATTTGAACTTTAAAATGTTCAAAGTTTGTCTGTCCTCTTTGAATTGCAAATGAAAGAAACTTGCAGATGTGTATTTCGTTCAAATTATATATAAAGATAGGAAGACGATATTGTAAATTAGATTCCAAGAAAATATAAAAATAAATTATATAACGTTGGATATTTGTGTTTGAAGGCTTACAAAAGTTCAGATTGGGTGATCGAAATCTTCTCATAGTGACAAGAATTAGTAGAACAAATTACTTAAAAAAATCAAGAATTCTTCACATATATTTTAATGTATTTGTTAAATTATCATGGTAAAAGTTTGTGATCGGAACGGTGTCATTATAAGAAGAATTAGTAAAACCAAAACAAGTTTATTATAAAAAACATAAAGAAAAAAGTTCATTAGAGACTGCAACAATATTTCATATTACAAAAATTAATTAGTGAGTGAATCATGGAAACGTATTTAGACAATTTGAGTATAAAAAATTAACGATTGAAATAGTTCAAATATGCTTTAATTTGACATAAAAAAATGTGTATTATAGACAATATTATAAAAGTTAGGCATTCATTGTGTCTCATACCAGCAATAATTAAATAACAGCAACAATAAAAGAAATAAGAAAAAATTTAATCAATGAGGAAAACATACATCCTAATAACAAAATATAATAGAATTCAAACAATTTACTTATAAAAGGATAGAGGATTGAAGAATTGTTCGAATATATTTTGATTTATATGACAAATGTGAATTTCAGCATCAATATTTCATACTGAAAATGATAATTAATCATGATAATTAATCACACTGTCGTTTACTATTTTTTTTCGAGAGGCATATTGGGGAAAAGCCGCAATAGATCTTTCCATGAGTTCCGAGACATTTCGGGCAATATCATCCCCGTCTATTATAGTAATTGAATTGAATTATTGAATCCCTGAAACTTCTGCGATAAATACCGCCTTTGTCGAAGAAACTTCGCCGGAACAACTTAAGTTGTCGTATTTAAAGCTATTGTATAATAGGCAACTCTTCATAATTGCCGGACTTTGCTAGAACCATATTTAATTTGATAGACTTTATTTCTCTATTTTTCTGAGTTATCATTTATATTTTGTTGCTTCTATTTATCATTTCTTCTTTATAAATTTATGTTATTTGGAAATTATTATTATATTTTTCTTAAAAAAACTAATTTTTGGTCTTCAAATTCCAACTTAACACAAAAGCAACTACTGTCAAATAATAGCTAAATGAATATTGACAGTTGTTTTCGAAACTCTAGATAATCTAAGATTTTCTTTCAAATGTTTTTAGTAACAAATGTTAAGTATTTCTAGTAGGTGTACTAACTCAAAAGAATTGGTACTTCTGCTAGATATATTAATATACATTCTCAAAAACAAGAAATTACACACGGAATTTTGTTGAACCATATTTAATATGAAGATTGCAGCTGTCTATTTCTTCATTATTATGTATTCAAATATTTTTATACAATCTTATTTGAACTAAAGGATTATCATTTATTAACATATATTTATATAAAACTAATTATTTACTTATAGAAATTAATTACAATTAACCTACATGTAGTTCAATCTATTTGATTTTCTTTTCTAATCGATTCCGCAGGAATTTAATCATGTAAAATATGAAACTCTTGGTTCCTTTCATTATAGTTATAAATTGCTCTCTACATTATGTTCATATGCAGGTCGATGAATTTAACATAAATTAGTTTGGAATTGAAATCGCTGCAGTATTTCAATGCTTGAATTTCTTATTGAATAGTATGTTCTAGAATTATTATGGTTTCATGATAATTTTATATCCAAACTTATTGGTAAGACCGAAACACAGATTTATTGTTACAAATAGTATATTATTCTATGAGAGATCTACTTTTGTTTTTGGTAACCAATCTAGTACAGTAAGACCTCGTTTAGCGCTGATTTGCTATAACGCGGTTTGCTGGAAACCTTGAAAAAGCTCAAAATTTACCCGGATTCAAATTATTTCCTTGATTTGTATATACATGAGCAGGATATTAAGGAGTTACTAAAGGTTTCTGGTGAGTGCCTTTCAAACGACGACCTTCAAGAACTGTCAGAACAAGGAATTTCGGAACGCGAAAAACCAAAAGACCTTGCTATAGATTTTCTTAGAAAAAGTTTAGAAACGTTATCTGAAATCGTTGATAAAATTTTAGCAAATGATCCAAATTTTGACAGTAGTGTAAAAGCAAGAAAGTGGGTGCGATCGTCTGCTACCAATATTTCTTAATGAAAGAAGAAGAAAGCAATAAATGACTAGACGATTTTATAGCAAAAAAATCAAAAGTATCAGAACATCCAGGACCTTCATCACAAACATAAACTTAATATTTCTCAGTGCAAATATTTGTGTTATATAAAACATATATTATAATGCAAGTTAGAATAAATACAACTTAAAATTATAGCAAAATTAGTTTATTTTTGGTACCGTTTCCCTATTTTCTATGTATTAAAATGACCTCCTATAACGCTGTTTCGTTTAGCGTTCTGTCTTCAGGAACGATCTAAACCGCTAAACTATGTCTTACTATATACAGGAACAATCAGTTCCCGCACTGTTTGAAACGAGATTAATCGAGGGCTTCGAAACCGTATAAACGGCTTAACAGTCTACAGAGAACAACCGTTTTTAAATCATACTTATCGAAGTAAAAATTACAACTCTAAAAAAATCGGACAAGTGGGCTGTCGGTGTCGGGTATCCAAAAAATCATATGTTAATAAAAAATAATTATATATTTTTTATTGTTTTTAATAATCCCTTTCTCATACATTAAAACATTAAGTAATTGCTATTTATAATATCTCATGAGTTTGTAAAATAAATACTATAATTAGTACTTAAGAATTTCTGGGGACATTTTATGAACATCGGATATTCGTATCCTGCGCGTTAAGGCTATTAATAAATTACTACTTCGTTTTTCATTACTTAAGTAATGGATTTAATAAATTGCCTTGAAAGCATTATAAATCGCATCTCCGACTAAACGGTATTAATTACTTTAATGTAATTGTCCATCAAGACAGTTTAATAAAGCCATTAAACATCATCAAATCTAAGTATACATTTAGATTTACATACTAGAAGTTTAATATTTATATTAATTATTTAAATAGAATATGATTACTATGATTTACAGGTATTTATATATATTTTGTTACATAATATTTCTGTAGTTATATAATGTTTATGTTTATTGAATGTAAAGTTTATAATTTTGTTTTTTTTTAATATTATTTTGATTACATGATGATACAATACGTAAACAAACAAAAAACAATTAGGGCAGAAAGACCTATCGTCTTTTACCTTTGTATTAAACTTATTTCAATGAAAATTGTATATGTGTATTGTTATTATGTGAATGTATTACTTTTTTCATCTTAATAGTTAATCGCCCTTCAAAAATTACCGATAATAAAAATTACGGTCAATTTGAAAGAGTTTATAAAATAACTTAAATTTGTAGAATAAACTATTAACTAATTTGTTTCAGTTAAAATCAAAATGACGGTATATATAAAAAGCTGAAAAATATATGTGTTGTCGAAAACTTAATTGAATTTCTTCAAGATGTTGGCAAAAAAAAAATGTAACTGAAATAGCAATCATAATACATGATTGTATATTAGTGCAAAAAATGTATGACTTGTGAGCTTTCTTAACATACATGTACTGATCTCTGTGTGCCGTGCAAATATTTGCCCACGTGTACTCAATAGGGAATATTGACTAGGGGAGACTGAACAATCTGTTTGTGCTGCAGAGGACAGCAGTTAAATTGTTTTTGAACTTCCATTTCTTATTTTC